AACCCCCCTCCCCCTTACCCGGAGTGTCGATGATGTTGATGTTGTAGTCCTTCCACTCGGTGTAGGTGGCTGCTGATTGGATGGTGATGCCTCGCTGCCGTTCCAGCTCCATGAAGTCCATGGTGGCTCCCACCTGGTCCTTACCCTTCACCTGTCAATCAAAAAACAAAAGTGGCCCCTTTTCATAAATTACCAGTAGAATGATCTTGTTACCTTCGCCAAGAAGGTTATGTTTTCAGTAGCGTTTGTTCGTTTGCTTGTCTGTTTGTCTGTAAACAGCATAACTCGAGAAGCTATGGATGGACTGTCATGAAACTTGGTAGGTGGGTAGGTATTGATGAGACCTAGAAATGATTAGATTTTGGGCCCCCTGCCCTGGCAGCTTTCCTTGATACTGCAGCAGAACTTTCGGTTTTGATATCTCATGATCTCTTGTTACTCGAGTAGGGTCACGAGTTTTGCATGGAAGATAGCTCTTGTGATCGGGGAGAAGTGTCATTAGTTTTGGCAGCTTGTTTTGTTTATTTTTTCTGACAAAACAGGCCATGTAAGGTCTTCATGGTAACACAAGTTCAAAAGTTCATGTTGGAGACTTTGGATGAAATATATAATATAGCACATGTGTTTCCTTCTTATTTACTGTGTTACGTCCCGTATTACTAAAGGCAGTTGAAATTCCTGATGATACCTCATGCATAGCCTCAATCCTCCCTGTGTAGTACAGTACTCTCTCTGTCAGCGTGGTCTTCCCAGAGTCTATGTGTGCTGAGATCCCGATGTTTCGTATTCTGGACACATCCAAAGCTTTGTTCTGAAAAATAACAATAAGGAAAACACCAAAACATTTAACAAATGGTTACTTACTGTTAAAACAACACAAAAATAGATTGTACAAAAACATGTATATGATTGGCAATTTAATGATAATGTAATATGAAAGTCACTGTAGAAGGACAGGGGGATATCTAAAAAACAGTGGCACTTACCTTTTCATCTGTTGAGTACAGTCTTAATACTGCTGGTGCCAGCTGGAGATAAATACAGTAATTGTATGAGCAATATACTAGTGCTGTAGTTTGACTTTTTCTAAACATACATATAACTAGCACTAGACCATACATCGGCGCCCCCTTGCGAAACAATGACGCACTCCAAACAATGCCTTGCGTAACATGTATCGAGACTGATATAATTTAAATCGTCAGCTTTGTTGGGTAAGTCTGACGTCCCAGAACGCCGCTTAGTTTCTTGAATGCATCGCACACCCTTAATTAACAACTGATCGACAAAATCCTTGTTAGAACGGAGGGGGTAAATCTCACAAGTCACATGCTGGAAACACGCACACGTTTTTGACATGCACATGATCGCGATCACGTAACCGCGATGTTACTAACCTGTGTTTGCGCCCGTCTTGCCAGCTTACACTGCTGTGAAGTTAGTACTAACGTCGCCCTTAATAAGCTCATGGTTGAATCTGTCTCAACCCGATCAAGGGCACAAAATAAACGTCAGAATTATCGAGAAAACAGCGATGTTTCGTCTTCTTTCTTTCCTTCGAGCCGGCAAAGGTCATCCGAATGCGCAAATGCGGTGAACTCTTGGGTAACACCACTGTTTGGGGGGAGTACAGTGCAATGTACTAGTATTTTATTCCATCCCTTTATTGGGCATAAAAATAGCTGGTTTAACAAGAAAATTGTGTTTGCATTTTTAATGTATCTGTTTAATGTTTAATTTACTGAAATTGTCGCTTTTGTGGTGAACAGATATAAAGTTTCGTCAAGTGAGTGGATTATTCCCGTCCCATGACCACTTGCGTCACTTGACCTCAGCGCGTCTTTTTGGTAAGTTTTGGTGTGAAACTTCTCTAGAAATCTCGCTGTTTTGCACAGTTTTGATACCTTTTGAGCTTAGATAACACACACAGTGTTTGACTTCAGGTTTTAGTGTTCGTTATCTCGTATTCAAGCCAGATAACTTGTCGTTAGAGTAGCAGATACAGCGTTTTTGATGAAATTTTTGTCAAGAAATTTTTTCAGCGTTGTATAAACTATAATCTCCAAGCAGATGCAGGTGGCAAGGCAGACAGTATCCATTTGCCAGAGGAGTGTCCACCAGGTGGCTGAATACTGCCTTGCCTGGCCTTGCCAATGTATGATCTGCTTGGAGATTGAGGAGCAAAGAGGAGCCCGAAACGCTTCCGCCTCTGTGTCTAAAGACGAACCGTTTTCCGTGGCGAAACGTTTCATTCCGTTTCGAAACGGTATACCGTTTCTAGTCTAAAGTGGGCCTAATAGCCGTGGCGATTGTTGCAGGGCTTCTCTTAATTGTAGCCTTTTAGGGCTAATGTAAAAGACTGCAAGCAAGAGAAGCCCTGCAACAGTCGCCACAGCTACTAAACTAAATGCATTGCTATGATTCACTTATTTATACCGTTTCCCTCCTTCAGGTGCGCTTCTGGGCTGAAGACCAAATTCTTAGGCCAAATCTGAGCACTATAACCTGTGTGGTGCAGTGAAGACAACCCTATCCGAGAGCGTAAAACTACCAAACTTCCACCTATCCCCCTCTTAGCACTTCCCTCATCTACACCCTAATTCACACCTCTTCTAAACCCCATTCCCTCCTTCCCGCATTCTTTCCCACCCCTCTTTTTCCATCCCCTTTTTCAGAGCAATGATGAAAATGAAGATATTATGTAGGATGTATGCAGCACTCAGTGCATGCGTCATCCAATGTCACCTCTACACTTGATCTGAGCTCTGATTATTCCCATATGAAAACTAAATGAAAATTTGACCCGTAATGTTATAACCTAATTTGTATGTGTATTCAATAATTATAGAAATAGTACCATTAATCCTAAGATTTTACTAAGCAAGAATTAAAACATTATACAGTATTAGAAACATGCAGGATTTTGTATCACCTTTATTGTCACTGGTGTATACGGTATAGCTCTTATGTACAAATTTGCTGGACAGTATGTACAAAATTTGATGGTTTCACCAATTCTGTCTCCTCTTTGCAAAATCTTTGCAAAATCACGATAGCATTTATTATATGTACAGATACATAAAAAGGTTTCATATTCATGTGACGATACGTGCATAGCTGCTTAATGATTGCAGGTCCCAATTCAGCATTGTTCTGACTCAGTTTTGTTCTCATTTCTGTTTGCTGGTCACAAATAGAAGTGGTAGAACCGTCCTGTGGTCCCCGGTGCTTTGCTGGACCCTGGAGGTACTGATGGTGCCTCTTGCACGTTTGCCCTGCAGACGAGTGGGTTTGAGGGTGGGGAGGGGGAAGGTCAGTCCTGCGGGGTGGGGGTCTGCTTCTTTAGTAGGCCGAGACTTCACCTGAGTTGTCCTCTTCGGCTTGCTGAATGGTTTAGGCTGAAATACAAAACACAGAAAGTCAGAAATTCTTGAGTAGTTTTCCATTAGTGTAATGTTCTTACTTCTAGTTGCTATGAAGAGGCCTCAACCTGAATTACATACATGTATGGTTCGTTAAAGAGAAGATAATACTAGTATACTTGTACAAATGGTCAATGATGTCTCTCGTCTTATAGTTACACTCCAAGCAGAGGTATCTTTTTTTGCAGCCCAAAATACCAGTGTGTGATTGCAAAAAAAGAACACATGTTTAAGAAAGCCTTAAATCATGCCAAAAATAAGCCAAAGCCCAAACGTCTGCTAGATGAGTACATTGTACTCTCGTCTATCCCTAATTATTTGACCATTGGGGTACCAGTTATCTCCACCCTACACCTTTCTGTTTCTCTGATAATGTAATTGTGACATTTGGAAAATAGTGGTCTTCATCAGCATACATGTACTTTTTAAGTTATCATGTGTCATCATATCTCCACATCTCCAACCTCACCTCCTGTTTTGAGAACTTCACGGGGACAGTAAACCCTGAGCCCAGCTTTGTTGCCGTCACCTTTGCCCCAGGCTTGGCCAGTCTGTAGTTGGGGTCCAGGGCGGTCATTTTGTAGAGATGAGTGTCCCTCCACGGCTGTATACTGCCTTTCCTGGCCCGGGGATAGGTTGTCTGGGCTCCTATAGAAGATAAAGATGTTGATTTGCTGAAATATTTCCCATGATCCCAAGTAGAACACTGACTGAACATCATCTTTCTCCAGTAGTGTAGCACCACGAAATCTGCCTCCAACTGTCCAAGGGTACTAATCTTTTCCCTGCTGCCTTAACCTAATATCTTTGGAGGCAGTATCCAATTGGCCAGAGGAGTGTCGGCAGCCTACTGTTGGACTCCTATGGCCAATTGGATACTGTCTGCCACTGATAGGGATCTGCTTGGAGATTAGCCTAAACCTATTTACTATTCATTTGGTGCCAAATGGCCACCTTAGTAGGCTGGACGTTTTGCCAGCCAAAAGTACATGTACACTGTATGAGGGCACTGCACCACTGTTTAGATACATGTATTATGGAATACCTGTACAGTATCAGAATGTGAGTTCAAGAGAATATTTTGTCTCAGTACCTTTCCTACTGCCCAGCCCCACCACCAGTACAGGTAGACCAGCCCGAGGGACTGTGGCCTTGGGGATCTCTAGTTCTGGTCTCTGAGTCGACGCTGTAGTCCCCACACGCGAAACTGTGCTTCGCAGTTGCACAAAGCTCTTAGACAGCACCAGTCTGGGCTCCTGGCCATAGGTTCAAAAGGCATAATCAGTTAATACACAGACAGTTATGTAAGCTAACCTGGTATTAATAATAAAAGCCAAGCTTAGATACCACTCTCTTGTGTATTATTAACAATGATAACTAACTGATAGACTCTAATAACTTAAGAAGCTATGAATTTAGATGCTATTGTACACAGGGACAATATCATTGCTAATACATGTACATGTATGTACTAGTAGTAATAGAATATCTTTTGGCAGAGATCATGTATATTATGTGCATTTAGAAGAATTGACTTTTGCATAGAATTGCATGGACAGCCTTTTTTCATGAGGATATGAAATAAAGCACATCGGGAATTGTTATACTATCATAATCACAACAATGATGAACTTCAGGTTATTAGGTCAGATCTTTTGTACAGCTACATGCAGTTAACCCCCTGGTGCCTAATATAACCAATAGAGAATCTGTAGCCTATGTTACAGCTACTTCAGTATGCTAATTTACTAAAGATTAATATCTAAATATAGGACCTGTTGTGAGTCAGTAGCTGGTCGAGGAGGAGTGTCTAGCTGGAAGCCACTGCCGATGGTTCTCAGACCTTTCACCTGCATGGTTTTCCTCAGCTTCTGTTCCATACGATTGTCCTGGGAAGGATGGACAGAGAATGTGAATATGAATACATGATTCAATGTTGGTGGTGGCCATGCCTTAACCTTCAGCCTACTGTGGAAACCATTTGGCACTAAATTTATATTGGTTATGGGGTTACACATCAGAGAAAAGGTTGAGGTCCAAATTGAATATCTTTTTTAGTCTATTTGTTTTTAGATGTCAAAAGCGTATAGCGTTTCTATCCTTACTAAGAACATACATTGTACCTAGTATTTGAGCCTTTTTCTTGACTGTCTATGCTGTGAAATGAACCCTGGTGCCGACATTTTCAGTCATTACTGACATTCTAGAATTAGTATCAAATTAAACTGGCAAGTGGAGACTTGTAATAAATAGAGTTGACTCACCAGGAAGTATTTGTGTAAGATGGAGGACCTCCTCCTTGTACCTCTAAAGGTTAAATCATCGTCTTCATCATCATCATCTTCTTCTACACCTTCCAACTGAGGACAAAAGTTTAACACTTGTTAAGCATAGAGGAAACCTGTCATTGCACTTAAGCAAAGGATAGATAATCATAATAACACTATACCATTTTGTATGCATACTTGTGTTAGTTTTGAGTTAAATTATGCACAGTACTTTGGTAGCATTGGGGAATTTGCATACTAGTAGCTCTAGATAATGACAGTAAATTAGAATTTTTATACTGCTCAAAGAGCAACCTATAATATTTATACTGTAAGCTATTCCAGGCAGTTCTTGAGCTAAAGTATCTTTCTTGTACCTTACATGTGTAGCTATGACATACTAGTACTTGCTGGTAAACAATATTAGATGTAGAATGTAATTACAGAATGCACATGTATGTAACTCACCAGGTTCATTAGTTCCTTCATCTGCTGCCTGTGTTTGGGCTTCATCACCTGGTGCAGGTGCACATAGTCCTGGAACTGTGGACACATGAAGTACAACAATCATCAAGGATAAAGTCATTCACTTGTACCTATGAGTATAACACAAACACAGTAGTCTACCTCCAGTCGTAATGCACCTGTATTGCATGCAGAGTTGGTAAGAAATGTCTTGATGTGAAAGTTTTTGAGAAGTGGTCAAGGTGTGTCTCTATGAACATGGGTAAAGCAGCTTTCTAAAGGACTGTAACACCTTCCATTACTTGTTTTGCTAATCTGTTCCTCCATGTACCAGTGTTTCTAATCAGGAGATAGTCTAGTATTTTTCACCCTCAAACTACAGGAAAGGTGTCACATGGGAGTATTTCCTTACTGGTTTTACCCCGGGTAGGAAACATGCAATACTAGTATCTGGTACACAGAGAGCAATAGGCCCCATTCCCCCCACCCCATAAAAGAAAGGTCACAATACGAGTCAATTCTCTGCCTCTGAACCATGACCTTGGGTTTATAATGTGTCACAGACCCGTACCCGGGATCTTACGGTGCTTTAGCTTCAAAGAGAGGATACTTGTGCTACTGTATCGTCTACTGTACATTTTTGGAAGGTTGTTACGCATAAACTGAGGTTGCCCTCACAAAATAGTCGTCACTAACTAGTACAAAATGTAGATGGGCACAGATAGTGCAATAAGTAAATAGACCCTAGATCAAAATGAATCTTTGGTAATGGCTGCTATCACAAATGTCAGTACAAGTGTTGGTCCTTAGCATGAAAGTTCATCTGTGTTGGTCCTATTCTTACAGGTTGAACCCATATATTTTTGTTAAAACAAATAAGATTACCTATTATAATATCTTAGGTGTCATGGTGGCTGAACTCAAAGCAAGAGCTTAAAAACATACTATCCCTACTTCTGTTATGATCATGAGAATCAGCATCAGGCACAAAATAACCCTACAAAATTTGGATCCTTTTTCAGAAAAAATAGGTTGTAGGATTCAAAATGAACTCTATAGTTAAAAGTGTTCAAGGACATATAGGGATATCTAAGAGTTAATGCAGCCAAGTGCCATATAGTAGAACCTACCTATGGTTGTTTACATCCTGATGTTCCAACACCCCCTAACCCTAACCCTTGAACCCTAACCAGGACCCCTATGTTTTGACATGTTCGTCACATATTGTCTGAAGTTGGGGGCATCAGACGATAGGGGTATCGAACATAGAGCTATGCCCCCACCTACATGCAAAGTTGGAACACACCATATGGTTTCTGTCACTGTGTCAGCAACAGCTTGCACTCATCAACAAGACTTCCCTAATTACACACTGAATGAAAAATTAATCGAGCCGTACCAACGTTGAGATTAAAACTTACCTCTGCCTACTCGAATCCTTCCATTTGAACCAAACTGTTCCGAGAACAGACGAGCAGTAAGCGCTCTGGCTCACAGGTGTTGATCAGTTGCTATGGATTGAACAGTAGCTTAAGGCTTTTTCAGCCCAGACTGTAATGATATATATATAAGGCTCACCTATTTAGGGCACCAGTGAAGATAATGTCCAGAACAGGATCAACAACTTCGCAAGAATTGTTTTTTCTCCAGTCCCATAGGGAATCATCACAGAGTCGTGAGCACGTACAATGAGTGAAATCAAGGCATGGTTTGCTAAGCGACTACGTTTGTGCAATGTTGGAACGCGAAAGCTCCCACCAACGGAGAAAAGTGATCTGTGACGAGTTGACAGGACTCGTAACACAAGGAGAATTTCATTGTGACTGATGGTCTTTGATTTCACAGTGCGGTTGCTAGGCTAAAGACTGACACATGTAAATGTAAAAGTCCCACAAGTGCATGTGTATGGATTTTAGTCTGAAGACTAATTTGTGTTGGTGATCTAGACGTCATTTGTATGTTTAAATGCCTATACTTAAAGCTATGATTGCAACGGGTATGCCATGTTCTATTGTAATGCATTCAGGAAATGTGTGAAAGGGTGTTTGTTTGTTTTTCACTTACACTTGGAAAAGAGCCATACCAATGTAGCCTTTTAAAGTTTATAATCACTCAGTGATCTAAATTTTATTTCTTTTTTTTTAATCAGCATAGTTAAGATCGTTCTATATTATTATCACCTCAGTTTTACAATAAAGCAGGGTACATGTAGGTCCTGACCCCTAATCCTGACAACACACCTGGTAACTAGACACCTGGCCAATTGATTGATACAGGTGATCCTCTGCTCTACTTGTTAAATATGCAGGACAAAGGGCCAACAAAGGCTGACTATTAGCCCACAGGGTAGGGGGCTGGTACTTAATCACACTGTTTACATGTCGCCTATCTTGGGAGGCATTAGTTGGATATGGATATTCTAGTATTTACACTTCTTCTAGAGATCTCTATTGTGTGTACAGTATTATAGGGAGGTCAAGGCTTGTTGTATGCTAAAGATTGGTCCTGTTTCTAGTTGACAATGACATAATGATATGTGTAATGTATAGAGTAATTAGTGCTATATATAATGATAAATTGTATAATAATTATGATATTTCATGTTTTTCTTCACTGCAGATTTATTTAAAAGTTGTCAGATTCAGGTCCCACTTTTCATTTTTGTTTGTTTGCTTGATTTACTAATTAACCCAAAGCTACTGTGCCCCAAACACATCTCCCTTATGCATGTATGTGCTAATAATGTATCCTACTGAATCCTACTTTATAGGGAAGAATTGGGCTATGTACTACTGTAACATTTACTTAGTTCATTTTACTTTTGCTAGTTTTATTTCATGGTAGAAATGAGTTTTTCCCAATGTTTATACAGTCAAACCTGTACTAGCGGTCACCTTGGCATTGCGGTCACCCGGCCATAGCGGTCGGTTTTTGCCGGTCCCTTGAATTTTTCCCATTGACGTAAGCATTAAGAATCGCGTATATAGCGGTCACTGTTCAACGCGGTCAGCGGTCACCCCATTCCGGTCCCGCCGGCTGTCAACACCGCCGATAGCGGTCACGGCTGGCCGGCCGTTACCCGCTAAGCACCACGTACGTAACACCACCCGACCTCGGGCTACGGCCGTTAGGACGTTCAATCAAGCCTTGTGATAATTTTGTGGCCGCTACATTATTAAAATGTGAACTGAAATTAGACTCCAGATGTGTATGAAATAAAGGAAAACTTGATTTTGACACGAAATTTTTGCGGTCGCTCGTGTTGACGTCTTTGATATCTGAAACACCTGGTGCCGTGCGTGCCGCGGTGCTTTCAGTGGACTCGGCGAAGATTGCGGCAATCATCCTTACAAAAAACTTACGAATATCCATATTTGATTTTTCGATTCCTTGAAAAGCATAAATATGTGGCCAACTTCCCTTTTTCACGGGCATAATTCAAGAAATTTGGGCTGAGAAAATGCGTTTCGTGATTTTTCAAAATGGCGCAGGCTGCAACAACAATCAGGTCAATTGGGGTCATCGGAAGACTCCATTGGTTTGGAGGTAGATGTACCGACTTTTATTTAATTTTATAGCATCAAATGGCGTGATTACATTACAAAAATATTTGGAATACATTATTACAATTAATTTCCATCGTAAACTTAAGTCTGTAGTGAATATTCTACAAAATATGTAAGCCTGAAAGGAGCACTATTTTTGTTGACCACCACATTGGCATAATGGCAGAGGCAGACAACCCACGCTGGAAGAAACCCAAGCCGTAAACAAAGGAAAGTTTTCGCTACGTTTTCATGTTCAAAAATGACCAAAAACGGAAAATAAACGGCAACAGATGAACAATTATTTTGCTGTTAACTAAATGGACAGCATCTTGGTACAAAAAAATCTTGTTTACATGGTTGGAATTCGTTGTGGCGATGTCGGTCATGCGAAGCACTCACCAAAGAACAAAAACATGGCGATGTCATTCTCTTCCACTTTTCGACTTACGGTAACGTGGCGATTGCGGAGAAACGATGGCAAAAGCGGAAAGACAGACGTCGAACTTATTCCACAAGGTGGATGTGATTCAACTGACAGCGAGTGAGAGGGAATTACCGGTCGAAGGAGCTTAGATTAAACGGAGTTTGCAGTCAGAAGAAACATGGCTTGGAGTCGACAGAAACTTTGTTGCTTGATTCGCTTTCAAGTTTTCTGTAGGTAACATCGATGTTACACGTACACAAGAACAGTAAATGGCAACCAGTGATTTTGTATATTTTAGTGGGAAGGTTTCAGTAGATCAACTGAGTATCATGTCGAGTGCATGCAGTTTTGATACATCATTTTTTTTTCAAGCCCACAACTAAAGCAAAAGAACAACAATTGTATTATAACATGTAATGTTACATTTGAAAAGAGACTTACCTGTGCAATGAATGTTTTCATATGTTTGAGAATAAAGACATAAATACATCTTTGTTCAATGGTACTGAAAGCATGTGTCACTTCGGGGGGGGGGGGGCAACTAACCGCCATTTCTCTATAGTGGTCACCTGGCCATAGTGGTCAATTTTGGCCAGTCCCTTGAGTGACCACTATAGACAGGTTTGACTGTAATTTGCAGTTAAATCAATTCTATAGTACAGCAGTCATATGAGGGAGACATACTTGCATAGGAGAGGTCACAGCAAAAACCATGAATTCAAAATAAAAAAGTTTCAAGATTCACAGTGTTAATGCTCAGTACCTGATACTTGACCGTAGCATGGGCCAAGTTCATCATAGCCCCAAACACATCCACAGCATGTTGTCCCAGGGACTTCAGCTTCTCTTTCATGATGACACCTGGTAGTGCTGCTGTCTCATCCTCAGGGTCTTCCTCTGTCAGCTGTAAGCAGCCCATACTAGCCTGGGTTGGCCTGGAGAAAAATCGAAATTTAAGCAAAGTTATTGAACTTTGCAACATATATTATCCTTTGGAAATTCCAAAATCCAAACATCAAATTCAGGCAGCATAGTCTTTGTCCCTTATGGCACCTGACACCCTGACTTTTCATTCATGTGTTTATGTCAGTACTTTGAGAGCGTCCTTCAAAGTACATGTACATGGCTTTTCGCTTTTCAGATGTGTTTCAAAGCACATCTAGCAGATTGCCATAGTACCTGTGTTTAAAACGGGCTCCTCCAATCAGTGCTGGATATTTCTTGAGCAGTGTGTTTTCCTGAAGAACAAATAAAAGTTCATGATGACTCTCGAACAGGTGTTTTATTGAAAACAGAGTATGTGAAAAAAAATATATTTCAGGACACCATTCAAGGAAAGTTGTTTCATTGTTGAGTCAAGATCTTTCCTAGGGAAACCCAAAGGAAGACCTAAGCTTGGACATTATTAAAAAAGTGAAGAGTTTGAAACAAAAAAATGTACTTAAGTCTTACATCGTCATTCTGAGCTCCCACCAGTGCTGTGTCAGACATCCTCTCCCTGATTTTGGAGTTGGCTGTCTGCATGGCTCCTCCTTCCTTAGACACAAAGTTCATGGCCTCCTTTGTCACTGCCAGGATGTGGTCAGTGATGTCATCCAGCTGATGGCATGCAAAATTAAAAGAGGACACCATTATTATCACTTTAAACTGTGTAAGTTCACTCACTTTTGCAGTGGTTTTATTTTACAGTAGGAAGAAAAATGTGGTTTTCACAGTGTTTTAAATCTGCAGTTGAAACAATTCTGTAGTACTGTTACAGTTACTGTAGTAATACATCAGAAAATGCATATTACATAATTACATAATACATGACTGATTGTATTCTAGGACCTTTCTTTTCCCTGCTTCTTCACTGTAATTAACGGTAGCAAAATGGAGATGTTCACAGAACTATTTGTTGACATGGTGGCGACAAAAAGTCGAGGAATCATTTGTTCACGGTAATGATAAGTTCAAGGTACAGAAGTGACCGTGAAAACCATGAACATAAAAGCACTATGAAAATAAAGTCAGGAATTTACAGTACCTTCCTCTGCAGCCTCTTGAGCGAGGCTGTAGTTTCCCACTCCACCACTGCTGGCTCCTCCCCATTCAACATGGCTGAAGCTGTCTCTGACTTCAGGATCTTTCTAGCAGACCTGAGAAACCAAACAAGATTTACACAGTCATTTATAATAGAATAAGTACTAGTGTTCTTCATTGCTATGGTTAAGAAAACATATAAATTCTGGACCCAGACCCAGATGCAGAAACACTAGTAGAACAAGGTTTCACCCCCCCCCACCCCCAAAAAAAGAGAGATAATAAGAATTGTCTTCTCAGATCTTTCACAACTCACCTTGACAAAGTACCGTGGGCTGGCATTTCAGTACCACGGGTATGGGGGGAAGCCAGCCCTTTGCTTTCTTCACTTAATGTGTGCAGCAACTGTCCTGGGTAAACTTCTGACTCCAGACCACCTGTACGTAACACATGTTACAATTTATCCTTACATGTACTACCTGTCATGCAGACTTGTATAGTATGGGGTTGCTACATGTGCATTGTCTCTCAAGACAACTCACTCACCAGCTGTCACTCACTCACTGCACGGCTTAACATCCGTTGTTTCCCGTCATGCAAGGGTTGGACGTTGTGGGGTGTCGTTTAGGTCTAATAGCTGCTCTCCATCTGTCTCTGTCTAGTGGGTTGGCCTTCTGCAGTTTCAAGCTTTTGATGTCTTCCCTAATACTGTCTACCCATCTCTTCTTTGGGCGGCCACGTGGGTTTCGGCCCTCTACGGGCATTGTCATGACCTTCCTTGGCCAGTTCTGCGGGTCCATCCTTTGTACGTGCCCATACCAGTAAAGTCTGTTGTAGCGCAAGATCTCTCGTAGGCTGCTTACTCCTAGCCTACACCTAAGACATTTAGCATAATAATATGCCAACAACATGTACAATAGCAATAGAAAGTCACCTGTACCTTGGAATTGGCTCCTGAACATGCTGCGCCGAGAGGCTGACCCTGTGTGATTCAAGGTTGAACTGCTTGTCTGCAGAACTGGTGACTGTAGGTCACATTGTACTGCCTGTAGGAATTTCATAAACATCAACACGTGTTTCTTACATCTGAATCTGCGTAAGTTTGTATTTTTATCACCTTACATGTATCACTCGCATCATTTCTTGAAAGAATTATTAGCATATTCAATAAATGTTGCCAAATAGTACATCAAGGTCTGAATATGAACTCCAAGAAAACAATGAATGATCTCTGACACTCAGATACTTCAAACTTCAATAAAATTTAGGCATTTACGAGATTTCAATAAACTGAAAAAAACTTCAGTCAAAGACAATGTTCTGGCATCTTTTTTGCATGCTTGTGCACTCTCTCTGGCTGGCCTTAGCCATTTAAGACATGTCACTTACTAACATGTCAGCAGAATGTACTGTGCCTGTGCGATACCTTGGTTTTTCACGGTTTTCGTTGGATGTATGGTCAATGTTGCATCAGAATTTTGTCTGTTGCAGACAATATCTTTTCAACACAACATTTGGAAACTACAGATGGGATGTTAACCTTATATGCGCGAATACGACCTTATATGAGACATTCTGCCGAAGTGCTATATGTACAATACATTACTGGTTTCTCGCAGGTGTGGTACGTTGTACGGACTTGCTTCACTCACTTTGTGTTTGACAAGGAACTCCTCCACAACCAGACTGGCCTGACTGGGGTCCGCGTCCTCCTCCAGTGCCAGGTGTTCCCCAGGTGCGTGTGACAGGCGCTGCATCAGGGTGCTGCTGCGGGTGGGAGCTGCCAGGTGGCTCTCAGGCTGAATCAGGTGCACCAACACTTCCTTATCTGTTGGAGAGAAACCTTCTTCAGAATATATTGTTTTTCTACAATAGCCTATTAGTAAGTGTATACAGTCACATGTTTTTCAGATGAGATGTTCAATGACAGGAATTGATAAAGGTGAAAATATTCTGACTTAACTGCACTCTTTTTTCGCACTTGATTGAGAGTTTAAATTGGTATCATAAAAACTTGACCGTTACATGTATATAGTGATGATGATAAGTTGATTGCAAATTCCTGGCAGTGCTAAAAGGCTACTTCTAAGTAATACATGTACATCAAAATAGTTAGGCACATTGCTTAGGATCAAAGTGGTATTGTCATCAAAACAATGTCACAGCTTACAGACATGGCTTATTCCCTGTCATATTCAAAAGTACAGTGTTTATACAGAGCTTTCTCTCGCAGTCCAAAGATGACTGACCTCTACTGCTGTCCTCCCTGTCTGTTGGAGTGTTGGGAGGAGCAGGGCTGGCATCTCCCCCAGGCAGTAGAGACTCGGGGTGGTAGGGTGACTTGGTAGGCAGGGTGGAGCCTCGGCCATCATGCAGGACACTCTGGTCAGGTGCAGCGGCTCCAAACTGTGAAAAAAAATTCTCTTGATGAGAATCTGTATAAATAACAAATTTTGTACTCTGGATTTAAACAAGTGCAAAGCTCTTGACTAATACTAGTACCCTCTAGCGACTCCTTTTGACAGCAGGTATGCTTAATACAGGATATAAGTGACTAAAACAATTTGGTTTCAACAATATTTTGTTTGTGAACAAAGGGAAGAATGGCTACAATGTTCAGCCACCTAACATGTCTTCTTTCAAAATGCAGATTAGAAGGATCCATACATAGTATATAGATATGCATGTGTACCGTCTATTATTTTTGGGGAGATGGAGGTTGTTTAAAGTTAAAACTTTTGATCCAGCTCAAAAGATTGTTCTCATCGATCACCTAGAGACATTGTAACTGTAACCAACACGGATGAATTTTCATGACAGTAATATTTTTGGTATATTATACTATACCACGGATGAATTTTCATGACATTAATATTTTTGGTATATTATACCAAAAATATTACTGTCATGAAAATTCATCAGTGTTGGTTACAGTTACAATGTCTCTAGGTGATCGATGAGAACAATCTTTTGAGCTGGATCAAAAGTTTTAACTTTAAACAACCTCCATCTCCCCAAAAATTATAGAAGTGATTTTAGTGTAGAATGGTTGTTGGTAATACAACCTCTGTCCCCTGGATGGTGTGTAGACTCTGTGTGTCATCCCTGGTGTAGTCCTGGTGCATGATCTCTATCTCCTCATCATCAGATACATCACCCATCACCATACTGACATCAGGACCCATGTACATGTACTGTGTCTCAGCCTGACTCTTCTTCAGATCCTCTAGTTCAGCTTTCAGTCTTTCTATTTCCTGAATAATTTCCCACAGTGAAGACCACATCAATCATAATTTTTTTCAGTTTTTCATCCCTTTGTTCTTGAAGAAACACAAAATATAACTTCAAAGCATGTATGCTACACAGAATGGTGGTTATGAGCATACAAATGTACCAGGCTACCAGCTATACGATATACTATTGGAGGTAAAAAAAATTCACTTTTAGTTCAAACTACAATGATGTACCTCCAGTGCAATATCCAAGCGGTTCTTTGTCATCTTCAGACTTTTTTTGAACTCCTGGTTCTCTTGGGTCAGTGCAGCGATGACTTTTGAATCATCTTGTTCCCTCTCCAGAGTTGACTTCATGTGTACTGGTGTCGCCTGTATATTGACCTGCCCAAAGCTTTTTTCCTATAAACATCCAGAAATAAAGAAGAGATGAAGAAATGAAGAGCAGGCGATATATAACTGCAACTGAGTTTTTTTCAGAAAATTCAGAAAATTGATGAGGACTAAAAGCCTGGTTGCTAAACCACAGCAAGCAACAGCAACAAAAGAGGCTTTGCTTATTTTCAGGAGGTCTGACTATACTACCTGTCCTCCCTTTGTGGCTGTTGAGGCTGAGGCTTGGTCTTGTATAGACAGGCCACACCGACTACACGTAGAGCTGTCAGCTGCATCCTGTGGACTCTGTACCGTCTCAGTCATCTCTGACCTGAAGAGACAAATAAAACGGAATGATCCATGACAAAAATGTGCATGCTGATGCCTTTCTGACACAACCAAGAACACATTTAAGTGCAAAACGGAATCCTGTAAGCTGATTGGCAATCTCTAAGGCCACTTTGCCCTAACTTAAGCAAGGAGTACAGCGCCCTGATCTGACTGTAGTAGAAGGGTATAAAGAATGTGCGATACTACTCTTGGTCATGCTGATGAAGACTTTTGAATAAAAATGTCGAAACCGGTAAACGTTGTGTCTCAGACGTCATCCTTCGACACAAGCACAATTTTTATTTATAGCAAGTTGGTGTGTTACACTAACATCCGTGTCCATAATATCACCAGGGTCCATAATATCGCCACCTTGAGAAAAAGTGTGCTTAAAGATATTTTTACGGCAACATACCCTAGGTATGTACACTTGAGGTGTGAAGGAGTGCATACCAAAAGTATGTTGCAGTAAAAATATCTTTAAGCACACTTTTTCTCAAGGTGGCGATATTATGGACCCTGGTGATATTATGGACATTGATGTTATATGTTACAGCTATACCGGCTATATAGATACAGAACAACTTAGAAAAAGTACCTGACTGTTGTTGTGTGCTCCACCCTCACTTTGGACTTTACCACTTTGGGCCGGCATTTTAGCTGAATCATCAAAGCATCGTTTTCTGTTTCCTGCAATGTGGTATGGAAATAAGGAAAAATTTTTCATTGCAAGAAATCAACAGGAAAAGGAACTTGCTTCAGGGATTCTTTAATTTCTTCTTCAAAGAATAATTTTCTTGTCACAAGATACACTTTCTTTGTACAAGAAAAATGAGAAAAAGCATTTTTGGTAGTGTAAAAGTTTGATACTTTAATTTAATGTTATACCAACTTGCTGTCAGAAATAAATGACAGTGTACCTTGACTTCGAGAGCTGCCTTTATCTCTCCTAACTGAACCTTCAGTCTTCTGATCTCCTGTTGGAAGAACAAATACTATACGTCTTGAAATATCCATGGTATTTTTAACCTTACAGCCACCCTTTCTACCGAGGACTCAATGAGAGATCCCAACTTTGTTACTTGTGTACCAACAATATTATATATTCACTCCCTGAATGCAATATGGTTGATTTAACCAAGTTATCATGTATAGGAATGACAGGAACATTGCCCTATTCTTTCATTGAGTACCTTAAGTAAAACTCCTTACCTTTTCAGTCTCTGTGCCCTTCACTCTCAGACCTCTAAGGTGCACCAGGAGAGTTGTTGGGTCATACCACTTTCCATCTTCATCTTGCCACTTGCCCTCCTACAGAAAGGAAGAAAACAATTGCCTTCCAAAAACATGGGGAGGGAGGTACACTTGACAGTACCGGCATGTGATTCATTGACTGTTATGACCTGCATACACTAACCACCATGCTTTCAGTACCACGGATGTAGCCTAGCAAAGATAGAGATGTTGAAGTTTTTGATACCCAAATCCAAGCCTGATGCAATTGACAGTATGTGATTCATTGATTGTTGTGACCTGCATACATTAACCACCATGCTTTCAGTACCATGGATGTAACCTGGCAAAGAAAGGGAAAATAATATTAGGTTTTTGACACCCAAATCCAAGCCTGATGCAAAGTGAGAAATTCAATTACATCCTACCTTGACCTTGACTTTCATCCCTGCTGATTCTTCCACCTGACCTTGAGCCTTCATTGCCTGGGAAGTAAAAATAAGAATTTTGTTTTGTTATTAGGCCACATTGATTTGGTGATTCTAGTCTGCTGTACACTAAAATGTAAATTTGGGCAATTTACTTCATAAAATTTGCATTAGTGTCATTGCTTGGGTTGCAAATTCATTAAACTTTTCCCATTGTTTAGATATTAACATCTACAATGTGTATCTGTCAAACTTGTGAGTTTTGTTGCTTTTTTTTTATATAAAAAATGTATAAATTTTTTTTCATAAAAATTGTTTTTTTTTTATTAAAAAACACAGAGCATACCTTCTTGAGCCTGACCACCTCATCCAGGGTTTTCTCCATCCTCTCCTGCATCAGGAGCTTCTCATTGGTCAGCTTGGTGTTCTCCTCCATCACTTTTTGGTACATCTGTAGTTGGTAACGTTAGTAGTGACACTCATTATCAAGGCTCAAACTAGGAAAACTGTCAGCCTGATCATTTCCAGAACATACATGTACATGTAAATCTACATGAAGGTATGGTTAATTTCTTATTGACTCATAAGAATAAAAAAGAAAGGAATCTATCATTGATGTTACAGTAAAGTTGAAATATTTTGAAAGTGTTAGACAGAACTCACCAGTTTCCTCTCTTCCAATTCAGCAGCCATCCTGTGTATTGAATACATCATTGGCTATTTGACTTGATTGAAAAACAGCAAAGTCATTATATCATGACATAAGTCCTGATTTAAGTTATATAATAACTAATAATGAGGAAATAGAATAATATGTAGACTATTTTTCAGGAAAACACACAAGGAATTCGGTTTTTGCACCTGAAATACTCTAGCAAAGGCAAGAGAGGACTTTGAAACTGTGGTTTTTCACACACATAAGACCCATTACAGTACTAAGGTCTCTTGACCATCGTTCAGAACAGTGTTTTATAGGAAGTAATGTTTGTAATTCTTAACATGACAAGATATGTGTGTTTATCCTCACATATTCATGTTGACAGTTTGTTCCTCCAGCTGTGTCAGCAGCTTCTGTAGCTGTGCCTCCATGACAGCAACAGCTGGAAGAATTTGTGACATAAAATGAAAATATGAAAAAAAGTCATTAACTAAACACTTGAAATGTCTTTACCATTAGTCAAGGATACAGAAACAGACAAATACTACAAAATCCAGATCAACGTATCAAGGTGCTACTGAATTACTGAATGATGTAGGCAATGTTAAACAGATTGGCAATCTTACCAGACACATCATATGCAATATTTTTGCCTCATCAAATTAATTAGACGATCAACCCACAGGACAGAGACAAGTGGCGGGCTGCCATCAAGCCCCAGATGTATTGTGCAAGCATGTATGTGATACCCTGCATTAATTCAGCCGTATAAAGGCTGCGACTGCACGGGTACTGTTTGGACAATAAAAAACCATTTATTATTATAAGCACGTCTAACCCTCAGAAGATGAGGAACAACAGACGATAAACCGGACAGTGAGTGTGTGTGTGAGTGATAACTGATCCCCACAGCTGCCTATACTGACCATCCTCTCCCTCTGTCCTGATCCTCTTCAGTAGACCGTTGACCTCTGCAGCAGCATGTTTCAGCACAGCTCCACCACTCTGGTCTATCGGCTTCTGCTTCACTGAAGTTAGATGTACACGGGTTATGATATAATTTCATTGGAAAAAGCCTAATAGTACTAGTAGTTTAATTAAATGTTGCGAAGAGTCTTTGATATAAATGTTTTTGATTAATATGTAGATTAACGTCTTATAGAAGTTGAAAGTTATTGAAATGCTAAATGCATTCGAGTGCTTTTCCTTTAGTAAGGAGAATGGGGATATGATTTAAAACAATGAAAAACACAGTCATACTGACCTTGTTTGAAGGCATTAAAAACCTGCTTCTGTAGGTTCTCCTTTTCACTGTTGAAAAAATAAAGCAAAATAAAGGTTAGATCTTAGAAATCTACAAAAGAAAATCCTAAAAAAGTACACTTCCGATCTCTTCCCTATCATCAAACATGTATTACACATGGCATGGTTATTGTACAGAGATGTCTTTATTTTGAATCATGGCATACTTGCACCAATCAACTCACTGCCCAGGCTGTAGTAGCTGGATTAACAACACAATCAAATGACTTTCAGCACCAAGGACAGGGACATCTTGTGTATTGAAGATACTAGTATAGACTACTGGGGGTAACTTACGTCGTCAAATGGTCGACTTTCCTTCCCTGTTCTTTTAGTTTCAGCATCTGTTCGTTCATGTTTTTCAGTTTCTCAGAGGCAACCTTAGCCGTCACCAGGCCTTCCCTACAACAGGACACGTCTTCAGTATACAAGATACAAGATGTCTTTATTGGTTTGTCACAATTCCACAAACCGTATTAAAACCAATTTACAAGCAATTTTGAGTCAGGCATTGCCGCATTGGGCATGAAAATTATCTGATAATGTTGAATACTTGAAGACTGTAAAAATATTTGACTTATAGACAATATTTCACAAAATACATGTAACGTTATGTTGTTACGATTCACATCTATGTCACAGAATATTGGAAAACATACTGGTTTAACAATCATGTCAGATCAGTTATTGGAGGGTGGCTATATGAGTATCAGTATGCCACACTCTTTCTGCTACTAAGGCCATGTTGATTTGATTATATGGATGACATCCGCGCGGGCATGAATTTTCGGCCGTTTCAAAAAAAAGTTTTCAACCATACTGTAAATCGTACAAAACAGTTGCAAAATGAGCAAAAATATACCGTAAGTTACAAAAAAAACATACCAATGTCGTAGAATGCCAAAATCAAACGAAAAAAGACGAAATTGTAAAGAAATGAACTTGAAGACTAGATTATTCCCCAACCCATATTCTGTCCCATTTGTTCAACCCTCATGACCACGTAGATTTCATAATGAAAACAACTTTTTTTTTTTGCAAAACTTTTTTTATTCGCACGCGCGCATCAATTTTGGGGTTCCCGGAAGATGTCATCCATATAATCAAATCAACATGGCCTAATCGTAACAGTTTCATGTTGACCAATTCAGGAGTTTTGTTGAAACTTGATTTGTAACTTACCTGAAAGTGCTCTCTGATTCCTCTGCTTCCTGAAGACTGGCTTCCAATTTGTCCCATTCCTTGAAGAAAAAGTACCCAAAAAATCTTTCAACAGAAAGGCTGGCTCAAATCATAAGCTTAGAGTGCTCTTCTTCTAAAAGTTTGCCATCTTGAGAATATCTATATGCATGTTACTGGCAGGCTATGCTTTACCGAAAAAATCTAAGAATCTACTGAACAGATATTCTAAAGATTTCTAGTAGAATAAGAACAGTATCTATGTTTCCACAAACTGGAATGTGCCCCAAATCAAAATGAAATATGACTACTTACCCTGCCCATATCATACAGGTGATCAGTGCCAAACCACTGAAAAATATGAGTTTTGTGATTATCAACTATAACAGACATTTCATGTAATAGTGATGCAGAGAAGGAAAAAATCAAACAAGACACACTAGGTACATGTACATGTTATGTGTATTCACAGAATAAAAAAAAGAACATTTTTCAATTAAAATTAATCCTAGCCTTCTATACTTACATCTGAGAGTGACATCAAGATCTGAAATCAAATAGAAAAAGACCATTATAGAATTACAATAGCCAAAATTATGTTCAACAGGGAAGGTACACATACAAGAGCATCAATTGTAACATTTCAAAAATAGCAAAACTTTTCATCATTTTTCCACTAACTCTAAAATGTATATACTTAGGTTCATTGATAAGCATATGTAAAACACAGAGACTTTTACTTGTAAAGTTACTTACTTCTTCACGCTCTTGGTTGACTTCTTCCACATGAGCCATCATCTCACGATAACGCTCGATAAACGTCTTCATCTCAACACGAACCTAAATACAGAACATGTCAGAGTGTAAAAACCACCTTGTTCAATATTAACGTCACAACAAAAGAGCATCAAAGCAACATGCATAGGAAAAATAACGCTTTTCAGAAGTTTTTGTTGCAGTTTGTGGCAGTGCCAAAATGAATTCTCACCTCTCCATCATCAATGTTGTCAACTTTGGCACGAAAATCATCCAAAGAATCCTAAAAAAGGGAAAAACAACATCTCGTAAAGCAAGATTTCTTCTTTACAGCAGACCATAGTCAAACAAGGTATAAGATAGCACTTGTTGCAAGTCAAGTAAACTTGTTTTAGCACTTTTAATTACACTGATTACTGGAAATTGTAATATACACTATGAAATAAAGACTGAACTTTAACTTCCAACACTAGATATAGAAATGGGACTTACCCCAAATTTTCGGTTGACTCCATCAACCTTGTTCACGGAATGGACCCATCTACTCTTGGAACGTGACGTCAGAGACACATGACCGTAGTAGCGGGTCATATGTGCCATTTGGGGTAAGTCCCAATTTGGGGTAAGTCCCAATTCTATATCTCGTGTTGGAAGTTAAAGTTCAGTCTTTATTTCATAATGATTTGTACCAACACAGATGAACTTTCATGCTAATAAGTAATATACACTGTTTTCACAATATTATAGATATTTGTGTTGCTAGATCTACAATTGTATTTGACATCCCACCTCATCATCCACAAAGTCAAACGCATTCTCGAAGGTGTTCAGGGCCTGTGGGGAAAACAATATTGTTATTGGTTATGTTAAGCCGAGGGGTACTCTTATTAGACTTATTAGTGTATGAATATCTTCATGAATCAATCATAGCCTCATGTTCATTTATTTCATGTGTACTTTTACCATGCATAGTTCTCAATGCCCTGTACTTAGGTCATTTCAAATACAATTCATGTTGATACCCATAGTACAACTTATGTCCATAACAGTATAACAACGTATCGGGATGGCAGCTTTTCCTCCCAGTGATAAGCGCCCTCTGGCAGTTTTACAGAAACTGCAGTGCAGAAACACAGACAGGCAGACACACACACCCTCTCTTGCACACACACGCAAACACACAGAGACAAGCCAAAATTAAAGCACAGTCAAGTAATAAATTTTGTAGTTCACATCAGTATGTATAGTTTTAGTAGCATACTTCTGTAATTTCTTACGTTTATACATGACCTGTGCTTAGCTTGTATGAGCATTAACGTACAAAATAGATCTTTCATTCAATAAAAATGAAGTATATCCACTCACCATGGACATTCTGGATGTGATGTCGCCAACCCTGGCCATCAGCCGTGCAGACTTCTTTCCCTCCACCCTGCTCACAGTGAGCCAGCCCACATCAGGGCTGACCCTCCCCCTCTGCAGAATGGGAGAGGCCGGCCGGTGGCCGCACGCACTACAAACTGCATGGGCGCCTACGATCTAAAATAGAAAATAATGGTTATTTTCAAATATAAGGGGGCCACACGCAAGTTTATTTTGGGCCTCAATTCTATTTGGGTCTCAACTCAAGCTCAAGAGTAGACTGTCTTTTCCAGGAAATAACCCTGAAGCAAAAACACTGTGTATGGCAATGAAGGATATCACACTAGCTTCAAAAACAATAGAATTCTACTTTAATTAACCTCTCAAATCTTTGTAAATTTTAGGGGAAATATTTTCTGCTCTCTTTTCTGCGCGGTGGGAAAAGCGACATTTTCCCACCGATAACTGCATTTGCCGAACGGTAAATTTGCATAGCATGTGTGATCAGCAACTCAGTTGCTAGTGTCCATTCGTAGTGGTATATTGCGATAGTAAACTGCAGAATTACATATCTTTTTATAAGAACCCAACATATAAGTACTTCGTTACCTCGTTGGAGCCAGGTTTTGCGCTGAGCCGGCGCATGACCCAGGGCCTAGAGCCGCCATCTTCTAAGCCGCCCGAAAAGTCTTTGCGTTTCGAATCCACTAGAAGAACCCGCCTCTGGACGAATTTTCTATCATCTCCCTTGCGTTTGTATCTTGGGCCGCCGGTTGAGGAGTCCGGTTGTTGGCCTGTCCCACGGCTCTTATGGTCGGGAAAACGCGGCTGGCGGGGTTGTTGTTTCGCCGCCGGGGTCTGAGGCGGCGTGTCGTCCCCACTCGCCCGTCCCATGGGGCGAAACGATGTCCCACAACTTTCCGGGGCCACAAAACTTCAGAATCTGGTGGTTAAACTACCTACAATCTTTTCCTATACACAACGTTAGCCATTCAGTGCCGTTGCCCTGGGCACCTTAGAATGCTTTTTGTTGTGTCGTTTGATTATGACGTCATTATCAAAACTTTTCATACTTTTTTCAGCGCATGATTAGAAAGTCCACTGATCAGGTCTTACTGGACTAACACAAGAAATGTGACAGAAAAAAATGGTCTAGACATGGTCAAAACAGAATTACAGGTAAAAAAAGTGAGAACAACTAAAAACGCTGTCAAAATTGCTTTCACGATCGCAAATGGTATTCTTGTTTAATTATGCACAATGCAGACATGTTCTAGAACAGGCATCCCGGTCCAGAACACTTGTGACAAGTTGTATGTTATGATAAAAACATTGTCGCAAGGAATTCACCACTGATGACTTCAACATCTACCAGATCATCCCAGTCAGAGAACCGGATGTAACGTTAGAGTTAGTATATGAATTTGATGTAATTTTTTCTGTTGGAATATACTATGACTAGCTTTTCATTAATAATTGGTTAACGATTCTAGAGTCTTTTTGCATTTCTTCAAATTGATGCTCACAACGTTCTGGCCTTGTTCCATGTTGCCCAATCTTCCCCTGGAGCAGCACCAAAAATCCACTTACTGAGCTGTTCCATGATCTTGCCCTTGAGGAAGATAAGAAGTTGCCGGACCAAAGTTTTCCAGACATCTAATATTAAACTGCAGAAATGTTGCACTTCCCCAGACTTGTCTTAAACTTAGATGTCGATCGAAACAGTCATTCTAATTTTGTGTTCGGACAGATGTGACTACAGATTTCTGTTAAATCATAATTTATATTTTAATATATAGCTCATAATATTTCTTTTTATGATATTTTCTTTTGTGTTCGGACAGAGGTGATTACAGATTTCTGTTAAATCATAATTTATATTTTAATATTTAGCTCATAATATTTCTTTTTATGATATTTTCTTTTGTGTTCGGACAGAGGTGACTACAGATTTCTGTTAAATCGTGATTTATATTTTAATATTAGCTCATAATATCTCTTTTTATGATGTTTTCATTTCCGTTAACTTTGTTTATTCGTTCTTGATAAAAGCATTGCTACTAAATGCTTCTAGCTAGTTGGGCTGCCCTGGCTGTCTTGTATCAGCCAAACCAATAATAAACAATAAATGCATTACCCGGGTCGCTTATTCAGCCGTTTCTAGTCTTGAATGGTCCATACACGATGGGACGTTTGCCTTTCTATGGCCTTGGGGGGAAACCTGTAAATAGTGACACCTAGCGGTTTGTTGAGACTTCTCACTTTTAGAAACTGTCTGTATGATACTGTGGCCAACAATTAGTTACCACTGTTGCCAAAATCTCTACTGAAATTGGTACGGAATGAAGACTTCCCTGAGTCTTTCATGCTTTTTGCCGACTGCCAAAACGTATCCATAACTCTTGGGAAGTGTTGCCAGTCTGGGAGCCTAAGGGTTGATGAGATATCGCAACTGGCGTCAGGTGTCCAGCTTCTAATGCCAAGGATGCACGTCTGTTCCTCTTGGGAGTTGTGGTAGCCAAATGGGGGTTATCTAAAGTCAAGAATGCAGTAGTTGGTTGTATCTTTAATACCACGAGCAAATGATTAATAAGAAAGTGGAGCTGTTATGAAGGGGGCCGCTTGTTTTGCTAGATAGCAGCAATTTTCACATTCCTGTGGATAAGAGGAAATTGTTATAGCTTTCTCTATGTCATATCCAATTCTATCTTTAACGCTAGACGCACCGGGCAGTCTGTAAGGTTAGGTCCAATTTTTGTTCAACCTGCCATGCGGAGAATGTAATCAAAACGTATTTTGAGGTGCGTGCCAAATTTTAATGAAGATAGGCCTTGAAACAAAGGTTTTTAACGTCTAATGATGGCACCGTCCTTGGTTAGTTTCAACCTTCAAGAATTCAGTTTCATCTAGTTGGACTTGGCGCCCTTGACCTTACTAGTTACACTTGGTCTTGCTGTGTACAACGACCACATAAAGTCAGTAACTGCTCTAATTGGGGACGTGTCCTTGGTTGACATCTCCGAGAAACAACTTGTTCACGTTTGTATTCATGACTCTGTGTTTGGTTTAGTCGATGTAAGATCAGGTCAAGGTTAACCATTTTGATAATGAGGAATTGTTTATGTCATAGTTAACTCAAAATGATTCGTCTCTGTTGCATTGCTACAGAAATCAAATCCTCGGAAAATCATTGAGGTTTTTTGTGTGCTGGGTCTGTAAGGAACAGTCCAGGGAGGAAGAAAAAGCGGTAAGCAACGGAAAAGATGGGAGGATAACAATATCAGAGAATGTCCTTCGTATTCATTTAATGAATTGGCTCACATTTAATAGTTTGTCCTTTGGGATGTTTGTTTTTGTGTGTTTACGGCCGTTTCCATGAAATCCACGAAAAACAAGCGTTGATGAAGATTTGAACAGATCTCCTGTGACATTGTATCCCAGAAGAGTAAATCTTCTGAGCTTGTTATCGCTGTACTGTCGCTTGTGGCGCCAGCAAGGGTGCCGGAAAGTGTTTTGGCAAAAAATCAACGCAACGTTGTCGTTAATTAAGTTCCTATTGTGCACAAAAGGCCAGCCAAGAAGACAATGATAAACCTGTTGTACTTTGACATTTTCAAAAGGTTTTGTTTATCGAAGGCCCAGCAGGGTTTTTTTATAGATCACTTTGGAGAAGACGACAATGGGTCGTATAGAGGAGTATTTACTATTATGATAGACACCTTAAGGAACCCACTACATTTAGCAATAAGAGTATGGGTCGTCCCGGATATACTTCAATAAAAACCTGAGCCGTGGCGAAGCCTCATATCAATTACATTGCGATGTGCTCATTACGTGTGAGAGAGGAACACTTATTTTTTGTG